AATGTGCCGCGGCTGGAGTACCCGTCGCGCCCCTCCTTCTCTCGCCACCGCGGTAGTTCCTGGATACCGCGGCGAATGGAGCCGGGGTTGTCCTCCTCGTCGGGCTCTGGCACGCCGGCCCTCCGCCCCGTCAAGCCCGAGCCAAAGGAGACACCCTCGGGCGTCCCGTGCGGAGGGACGCCCTCGTCATCAACGAGCCCTCACCTGCGACGGCATCGACGAGGCGCTCCCTCCGCTTGGTCCGGCTGAAGCCCGAGCCGGACATGCCCCCCGTGAAGCCGGAGCACACCGGCCTGGTGGCCCCCGACGACGATTCCGCCCTCAAATGGGCGAGGGAGGACTACGTCCGCGAGCAGGTGTGCCGCCAGCGTCAGGCGTACCTGGAGACCCAGGCCCGTTGCCGCGCCGAGGAGGGCGGCGTTATCGTCATCGACAGCGACAACGAGGTCGAGGCCGGGCTGTCAAGCGTTGTTGGCAACCCGGGTGAGGGGCGCAGCAGGGACGCCGTGGGCGAGGCGCGCGACGACGACGATGACTACACCTGCTTCTACAAGCTTCTCGGCATGTAGGCGGCGGCGGCAGTGGCTGTGGCGGCAGTGGCTAGGCTTTTTAGTTCGTTTTTAAGTTAGTTCATGCATGTTTTAAGTTTTTATACAAATTTGGACGAAAAATGGCCGAGTTCATGCAAAAGTCGCCGAGTTTGAAAAAAAAATAAGATGAACTTCGCCGAACCCGCAGCGACCGTGGGTGTGTGATTGGGAGCAAACCAAATCCCAGGGGCCGAACTAGCGCCGGCTCGCCCCCAGGCCGCTCTTTTTCGGCGCCCTGGGGGGCGAACGGCTGGAGATGCTCTAATCATGATAAAAATAACATTGAGGACCATGCATCAAGGAACGACGACTGCCATCGCCAAAACAAACTGCTGGCTGACGTTGTCGAGGATCGCCGAAAACTCTTCATACACGTGCCTCGAAGGACCAACACCCTAGAGCCGCAGCCATCGCCATTCAACCCTTGAATGATCTGTAGGGTCTGACACTAAATCTCAGCGCCGCACACTCACGGCGAGAAACCCTAATCTCGCCACCCTAAGAAGTCGGTGGGAGTCTACGCCGGAGCTCCGTCAGCTCTATCCCAATGGACAAACTCGAGGTGTATTGGAGTTTGGAGGATCGACTGAAAGATGAAGTATTGTCATACACTGGAATACCGCCTCGCAAGAAAATGCCCTAATCTAATCAACTAGTCGAAGTTGAGGCATCGAAATTCCCCTCCCCTCCATAGGTCATCCGAACGACTTGCAGATTCGTAGGCCGGAGCTGAGGGGAAACATCCTGGCATTAAGTGCATGAATCCTTTCACACACGAAAGCACATTGCACCTTACGACATGCATATCATCCATGATCGCAATATGAGGTCGTATCGTATCGATGGTACGTCGTCCAGACCATCGTCACCAAATTTTGTCGCGTAGTTGCTCAACTGGAGGCAAAGTGGCCATTGCACGCAACAGAGGAGGAGATCGTAAGTTTTGTTGTTTCTTCCTCAATTTGTTGATTGAATCATTCATTCGCTCAATATTGCTCTACACATAGTGTAGCCCGTACCTGCTGCCGTGGTGTACCATAGGACAGAGGGACACCCATTTACATACACACACTGTTGGATGAAGTCAAAGGGGCAGTATGTGCTAGACTACATGATCCGTTTAAAAACTTGTTGGACATCGAATTTGAGACGCTAGACTTTTTTGCATGCTATGTATGAATGATTTGTGCTATTTTCTTTCCAAGCTTTGATGAATATCAGTCGGTTTGCATGAATTTCGTCCGCTACTCCAAACCCAGTTTAAAACGTATGCGAGCAGCGTTGGATGGTTGTTTCCCACATCCTTGAACGCGGACTGGTCCTCCGTCCGTGGACGGATGTGGGATAAAATTTATGGGGCGCCGTTGAAATTTTGTTTTTGTTTTCGAATTTTCTTAGAGAGCGCAGAGCACTCTTGGTTGACCTCTTTGTGCTTGGATCAGTGACAGTGACAGTGATTTTGTTGGCAGTTTCGTATAGCAACGGCAGCTCCCCAGAAAGCGGGAGCGAAAGGGACAGCAAGGTTGAGAATTTTGGATTGCTGATCTGTCTGTAGGGGTGTGATTAAGCAAAGATAAAGGCAAGACGTCGGCAGAGACCCTGCATCTGCATGCAATTTCCTCTAGTAAAAACTCTCATCCTGGCATCTTGTCTTGGTAGGGCCTAGCTAGCACAGTGGCGTTGGTCAAGACTACCGACGCTGCTGCGCCTCGAGTCGCTGCCAAGAAACTCCAAGCCAGTTTCCCGAGGTTGAGTAGTACTTACATATGCAAGACAACGACAACGACAACATTTGCTTGGCAATTTACCTAGCACCACATGCGTAGCAAAGATCCCGACATTAATTATAGTTTTTTTCTTTGCGAAAAGACTTTAGTTATATTAGTTAGCTAGGGTCCATGAACCTTTCCATGTTGGATCGCCTTTCACCTCATCTCAGCAGATGACAGTGTGAGAGTGAGTACAAGATGGATCATTGAGTTTCACTTTCCCGTTCTCTGGGATTAATGTATGATTAGTAGCCTCAACCACCAGGCGATAGGCGATGATGGTGATGAGCAGGCCGGGGTTCATCAGGTTTTGCGCGCCAAAAGTGCATCTTGAGCTTAAAAAGGACAATATGATGAAGTGGCACGCAGACTTCTGAATGGAAACAAAAGGACAATATGATGAAGTGGGCAGCTAAGTTATCCATTTGTCCTCACATCATAAAATGAGAGGAAAATGTCAAATGGAAGGGAGATGAAACAGGGGGCTACCATGTTCTGATCAACGGTTGCAAGCTTATCCTGGAACTTGATGAAGCAGAGCAGTTCTGGTGAAATAAAATACTCTTACATTATGAAACGGAGGGAGTACTAAGCAAAACCATGTGCAGCTTCTCAAAGATCCAACAGGAAGAGCAAGTGTATGCATGCGTTAGGAGGCTGCATATGTTGACATGCTAGAGCGTCTCTAGCAGATCCCTTATAAGACCGGCAAAACTACGTTTTCCCGGACGTTATATGGGAATGGGACGGCCCAAACTCGGGCCGAGCAGATTCCAGAAAAGCCTAGCCCATACCAATCAGGCATATATGCCAGCTTCCGGGTGATTCAGGGTATCCGTTCGTCATTTCCTTTATCCCTCTTCACCGCATATCATCTACTCCGGCGAGAAATCGAGACCGCTCTGGCAGTGTTTTGCGACTAGTTTTCCACCGGCTCTTGGTGGCGATGGCGTCCGCCGGTGCGGGGCGTGGAGGCGGCAGGGGGTTCGGCGACCGCCGGATAGGCAAAGGAAGGCGGCACAAAGTCCTGCAGCGCCATATCGCGGGCTTGGGCAAATTTCCGTCGCCTCGGCAACCTCTTCGATCCAGCCCTCCAGCCCCGTAGGGCGGGAAAGACCGCGTATTTTGAGCCGAAGCAGGCCGCTGCAGCCCGAAATGCAGTTGCGGCTGCGCGCCTGCCGGTGCTTCTGGAGGCGTACCAGCTCGCGGCGACCCCCTCTGGCACGCTCATCGACAACACCCTCCATGGCAACAATCCCCCGCCCCGCGACGGCAGCGACAGCGACTCCGGCGACGAGTAGATCTATGCTAGTGTTTAATTTTGGTTTGAATTAGTATTAAAAACTCTCCTACGCTATGCGTGTGATGAACTCCCCAATGCTATGCTATGCTTGTGATGAGCTCCGGCGAGATGTTTTAGCGCAAGCTAGTATGTTTAAATTTGCAGTATCTATACGACGGATCTGTTCCGGCTGCGAAGCCCGATGTCTGGCAAAAATCGTTTACCGTAAATAATTTATACGGGACGGTGGGTTGCGGGATCTGCCAGGTATGCTTCTAGTTCATTATATAGCATAACTCAAACGCGGCAGGTTTTCTCTTCTTCTTGGCTAAAAATAGCCGTCAGGAATTCCAGTGGCAAGGCTCGTCAGAATTTCCATGAGAATGAAGCATCGGCAAGTGAAGGCCTCGGCCCCGCCGCATCGCGTGCACCGCCCTCCCCATTTGTGCAGCTCCATTAACCGGTGCGATGCGATGTGCTCCCCCCCAGATCGGCAGTGCATAGTGCGGTACTAGTACGCGGCAGCAGCTTTGAATGGCCTTCAAGTGGCGCCAGCCCAGCCAGCATTGTTCCCTCACTATCATATCAGTGATGAGATGATAGTGGAATCCAAAAATAAACATCGCTCGCGCATCTAATCTAATCGGTGGTCTGAATGAATACAGCATCTGATCGTTCTTCTGGTGATGTTTGTGCTAATGGTGCCACGTCGTGGTTAGTAGCATTGCCGCTCCTACTTAGATTAGAGGAAGCAGAGCAGAGCAGAGAAAAAGGACAAGCCAAGCATGAGTGCATGCAGCATCGGAGCGTCTCCAGTCGCCACGTTGCGCATCATTCATTCATTCACTCACTCGTTCATTCATGGCGTCACCGGTCCTCCGGTCGTGCTCTCGCCGGAATCATCAACCATTCCACGTGCAACGCCAACAGGTTTCCCCTCCAGGCCACACTTAAACTGATTACGTACTTATATTAGCAGTAGCCTACCAATTGTTGTAAAGAAACCAAGCAACAAAGCATTTCTCATTGCCAACACACGCACACGCATACACTCTCGACCGATCGATCCAGCTCTCCAACAAATTTTACAGGGTCGTGATTTAACTAGCGGATGCTCTCCTTTTCGGAGTACGTACGTAGTAAGACTAGTAGTAGCAGAGTGATCCTGATTATACTTGAGCTAGCTGCCGCATGGCATTTCTCATCACGGTGCGCGCCAAAAAGAAGAAGAAGCAGCTGGAACGAATGAGCATCACACATCTGAGCGCCATGCGTCGCGGCCGATCGAAATTTCGCGGGAACGTGGGCGTGGGGGCGAGCAGAACAGAGCGGGAACAGAGGAGCCACCGACGGGCTGGCTCACATGAATCTCGGGCCGGCCGATGTGGTGGCCGCCGCGGTGGTCGACACCATCATCATGCGCGCGAAGTCCTGGAAGCCGACGAAGCCGTCGCCGTCGGCGTCGACGCCGCCGATCATGCGGCGGCAGTCGTCGAGGCTGCACCCGTCGGCCTCGCCGCCGAGGATGGCGACCATGACGCCGCGGAGCTCCTCGGCGGTGATGCGGCCGTCGCCGTCGGCGTCGAACACGTTGAACGCTTCCATCAGCTCGTCCTCGGGGCCGGCCTCCCCGGCGGCCGCGATGGCCGCCACGGCGTCGAGCTCGTCGTCCGACGGCTCCTCGTGGCCCAGCCGCCGGAGCACGGCCTCCAGCTCCCGCCGCGAGATCTCCGCGGGGAGCACCGACCGCGGCGTGGACGCCCGCGGCAGCGCGTCCTCGGTGGACGACGAGGTGGAGGAGGAGGACGCGGACGCGAACGACGGCGCCTCGCTCCGGGAGATGCCCCGCTTGCCGCTGCCGCTGCCGCCGCCGTCCTGCTGCTGCTGCTTCTTGCCCCGCTTGGGCGACGGGATGGAGAGCTTCCGGGCCAGCGACTGCATGGAGAGCTTCATCCTTCATCCTTCTTCGAAGAGAGGAGACGAATGCAGCAGGGAGGGGAGGAAGGATGGATTGATGGGGATGTGTGGGGTGGGTGGAGACGGAGGAGGGAGGCAGCGATAAATAGGGGAGGCGGAGGACGGGGAGCGGGGGCGGGAGTGAGCTTCGCGGAAGCTTCCTCCGTCCCGGGGTTCCCGATTTTTCAGTCGTCGAGCTCGCGTCCGGTACGCTTGGTTGGTTGCTTCTGCATGGGTATTTTAGCCCCGCCCAGCCTTTTCTTTTCCTGGGGTGCGCTGCGCTGCGGATTTATCCTGGCGTGCGACGGATGGTGGGGGCCGTTTCTGGCAGGGGCCCCTCCGGGATTTGCTGCGGCGGCTGGCTCCTTGTGCCTTCTCTTAGCTCTCTGTTCTGGGGTGCCTATCCAGCCGTCCAATTTGGATGGAAATGGCTTTCTTCAAGATATACAAAGAGTCTGATGGCACTGCCCATTAGCTTGTTATCTTTCTTTTTTCATGAGCTTTGGAATGAAGTTGTATATATAGATTATAGAATGGAGTAGAGGGATTTTATTTGCTTATAATGAGAACCGGCTCAAGAACAGAATCAACTGAATCGACCATTTTCATCCAACCAGACCCGAGCGAGCGAGCGCAAGGAGGCACACGACTGCATTCACGGGGACGAGTAGGAGATGCCGTGTTGTCTCCCAGAGCGCTGCCATAAATTCCACTCACCCCTCTCTCACTGCTCACTCTCACCTCTCCCCGCCGTCACTCTCTCTCACCGGCGGCGCCGAGCATCGCCAGCGAACACCGACTTCATCACCCCTTCGACAATGGCGGTAAGCCCTTGTTTCCCCGATTTAGGCATCGTCGTAATCATCGATTTAGGCATGAATTTACACTTCGAGGATTTGCTTTGGGGTTTGACTTACGGTTAGACTAGGTTTAGGGTTTTGGTTAGGGTTCGGTTTAGGGCTTTGATAGGTTTAACTTGGGGTCGATTAATGTTTTAATACAAATCGATTTGGGTGTCTAAGTCTGGTGCGACTAGGGTGTCGATATAAGTTAGATTTGGGTATTGATATAGGGCTCGGCGAAGAGTTTGATAGGCCTCGAATTGGACATGTTGGCATTAAAACTCTTGATCTTACTGTATGGTTTGCTAATGGCAAGATCAAGGGCTTGTCTTATGGTAGTACGGTAGTTTCAGCGTTTGTTTTCCATGTCCATGGTACTTGGCTAAAAATGTTAGTGAGTTGGTCTTCATGACTAGTCCATTCTACATTTACATCAATTGATCTTGTTCGGTACATCATTGCAGTGCTCTACCAAAAAGCTTGTGCTCGGCAATGCTATTGGGGGAAACTACTCGAAGGGCAAGGAGGTGGCAGAGGGTAGCCCGCCGACGAGGCGTCGGGTCAGGGCGGCAAATTTCGACCATTGTCATGAGGATGAAGGTCCAACGCACTTCTACAAGGTGATCTTACCACATGCGTTGGAGTTACTGTTGATCCTTGATGGTTTTCGTAAACACATGGCCGACATCCAAACGGAACCAGTTGCAACTGGTGGGTCATGCTCTGAGAGGTTAATCGTAGGCTATCCCTTGATAAAGGGTTGGCTGGCCTCCCGTAGCTCACCAATTGAAGATCGGTTACCTTCTCACCTTTAAGGCGGTGACTGCACACACCTTCAAGGTGCATGTCTTCGACCTTTCCGGGGCCGAAGGTGGTGGCCAAGTGCAAGAAGCTCTTGCCTTGATCCGGAATGTTTAATGTATTTTCTTTAGTCTATGTGGTTAATATGACTATCTGCTTGAGACTCTCTCGTTATTATGACCATGGTTGTTATTGCAGTACCTAATGTAGTGCAGATGATTGTTCAAATTGCTCCGTTCTACCGATGAGTGTGTGTGCTGCTAACCTCATTACAGGAACAAAAGGTTACCACATCGCATTTCTTGCGCGTAATCCAAGAACAACACGTTGCATCTGAGTAGAACATGCTTGCAACTAAACGACATACTAGTGGTTCGTTTATAATGCAGGCTAGGGTTTTATGGACAACCAAATACTAGTGGTTCACTATACATCAAGAAGTAGTTTTGGCCACTAGTTTTTGTTACAATATATCTCTATGTAAAAAAACTTATAAGATGCTATTAATATTTTTTGCGGCAAATTTATACATATAAAATTTATATTCCAATATAAATATCTAAGATAAGTTCTTAAAGTCTGGTCGAATCCATGGACCTGAACCTTCACTTATTTTGTGATATGAAAAATGTAGTAGTACACAGTACCACAAGGATATCATGCCACAGAGGATCTTCCTTATAAATTCTGGAATGAACAGAGCCTGGTCTTCGTAGGAGCATGTTGGCCTCCCTGATCTCCGTATTTTTATTAGCCAGTTGCATCATTGTTTATTTCCGCCACGAAAAAGTCTCTCGCTTTATGTTAGCCCTGTTCCTGGGCTGGCTGGCTATTCGTTGGTTTTTAGCTGCCGCCGAGATGCTTGATCAAAATTTTCCCCTTATTCTATGACCTCAATCCCGTCAAACAAACAGAGCAAACACCGCAGCACAAGACAAAACAATATACTTATATAAATCAAATATAAGCACTTTGTTCATGTCTTGTTCCCATGGCACACTATGTTTGCCCTTGTACAGTTTCCTTTTTGTGTAAAATCTTCCTAGACAGTAGCGCTTGAGCAGGTTTTTTTACGATGAATGCATCTTCTTTGGCTGCAAAAATTGAAGGATGCCAACCACTGCTGAACTGAAAATGACTCTTAACCGCATCCGTTGCACCCTCTACTACTCCCACCGGTTTACTTGCAGGGTGGTAGGTCATTTATGTGTGAAGATCTGTGTGTGCTTCGGTTGTTGGCTGGCCCAACCACAAGCTTGTGATTAGCAGTGCAGAGAATCGGATTCTCAAAAAAAAAAAGCAGTGCAGAGAATTTTAAATTTCTGTTGGATGACGTTTTTCTTCTTCTTGGGAGAGCAGATTCTTTCATCCCTCGATGATTAGGCATGCATGTTCGGATTCGCGGCCACCGCCGACCTGCCTTCGCCGCGAAAACGACGGCGGGTACGAAGTTTGCTACTCTGTTCATGTGCACCGGCGAGGCGAGCACACGTTGGGGAAGCTCACAGCAACGTGCGGGAACAGTGCGCCCTACTGCACGTCGATCGGTACGTACGCCACCCCAATAATTTATGTGTGTTTCTCTGCGTAGCATGCGTGTAGGGAACGCGTACGCCTACGTACGTACGTACGTACGTAATGTATGGGCGGGCAAACCCAGATCGCCGGGGCATGTTATTGCATATGGTTTTTTTTTTTTGAGGGGATTGCATATGGTTCTTGGTGTCTCGTCAGGGTATAAAGAATTTTGCAACTTGTGGCGCGCGCCAAGGCAAATGAGTGGCCCAACCAACGGTCAAATCTTTGATTGGAATGGACGCTAATTTTCTTGCAAACCTCATCTTGATCATGATCACGGTACGGGCCGTTGTCCCTGATTGGCTAGATCATGGAGTGATTGCGTTGGAAGTAGCTGTCTCAGGTAGGTGCAGCAATGAGCATGACGTGCTACTTCGGTCGACAGCGCTCATCATGGCCGAAGCCGTACGTGTATGATTAGCTCCTCCTGGTCGAAACTTACGAATGGAATGTCAGACGTCTGGGGTTTGCGCGAAGACATGCCTCGCTGATCCCGTAATATTTAGGCCCCTCAAAAGCCTTCTTATGCTTTAACACATTATATTTGATGAGTAAAAAAAAATGATTCCTGGCTGACCTATTAAATTTAACTCTTCAAACTTGTTTACAAACAAAGATTAAAAGTAGTCAATTCAAACACACATTCCGATTCAAACTACATTGCATAGCATGAAATTTAAAGTACATTGCATAAACTACTCAATTTGGAAAACATAAAAGAAAACACTTTAAAAAGAAACTAAGCCTCCTCTTTCATGAGCGTCTCCCAATCCAAGTTGTCGTCATGGACGTCACCGAATACGGACCCAGAGTCACTGAAGCAAAGGTCGATGGTCTCCCTACCGAACGGTCCTACCTCGTCAGTAGCCCCCTTGTTGTACAACTTGAGCCGCAAGTACTCTTCGATGATTATTTCCGGATGCACCGAGCGGACCCGCGACTAGGGTTTCCCCGTCCTCCCCTCCCGCTGCCGCCGGCCGTCGGCCTCGCGCCCCCTCCGCCCCTTCCGCCCCTCCCCCCATCCTATCCGCCTCGCGCCGCCTCCCTGGGAGGTGGGCCGGGGCGGACCTCGAGCTCCTCTTCCTCGGCCCCCTTCCCCCGTCTCTCCCCCCGCCGCCGCCGGCGGGCGCCCCCGGCGCTGGCCCAGGTGGTGCCGGCGGCGGCGGGTCTTCTCGTCCCCGCGCGTGCGCGCTCCCTTCCCGGGGCTGGGAGGCGGCGACGTTGCTGCTCGGACTTGCTGCGGTCCGCCGGCCCTGCGATGGCGGCCGACGACAGGCGTGGTGTCGGCGCCGCTCCTTGGCGGCGGGGCGGCGTGGTGGTGCTGGGTGGTCGTCGTCGCGCCCCCGGCCCAGATCTAGGCCCGGCGGGCCGGCTCCCGGTGTGGCCTCGTTGTCCGCGGCGTGGTGAGGAGGAGGAGCGGCTAGGATACGGGACGGCGGCACCGATGGCGTGCCGGCAGCAGCGCGAAGGCGGGAGCTTTACGAGCCCACGAGGGCTCGGCCGGGTCTGTGGGCCCACGGGCCTGGTGTGCTCCTGCTATTGCGTCTGGACGGCTACCGTCGCGGACGGTGGAGGTGGGGCCCTCCCGCGTGCCAATGCTGTTGATGCCCTAGTCCTGGCTCTGATTCTTCGCCGTGTTGTCCTCACCCCGCATTGCCGTGGTGAGACAGCATGGGGGCCTCCTGACCGTATTGGCGCTGGGTGGTGGTTGGTTTGGTGGGTGGCTCTGGAGCGCCCGAGGTGCGGGTTGGGATCGGGGGAAACCCCTGTCGGCTT